TCATTCTTGTCAGCTTCTTCATCATCATGAAGATCATCCCATGTTGCCATAAGACTTTTCTTGAACTTGCTTCTGAAGCTGTTCTTTTAAGCTTCCCTTTTTTACTTTGCCCTTACGAATCTCTGGACAATCAGCTATAAAGTGACCAGGGTTCTGGTAGTTGAAGCATCATTTTTGATCATCTTTGTTCAACCTGGAGTTTGTCCTCTAAAGCCAAATCTTCTGCTAGAGGAGCTTCTGTTCTTGCTAGCAAGATACAAAAATCTCTTTATGATGAAAGTCATTTCATCATCATCTGAATCTTTTTCAAAATCTTCAGAATGAGTGGCCTTTTTATTCACCCAAATCAGTTAAGATTTAACAGAATTCCCAATAGATTTCAAAGCCAAAGACTTTTATTTCTTGATTGGTTCTTCATCTCTATTGAGTTCTAACTCGTGGCTTTGGAGATTACTGATCAAATTTTCAATACTGATATTGCTCAAGTCTTTAGCTTCCCGAATAGTTGTTACTTTTGTTCTTTATCTGTCAAGAAGACTCATAAAAATCTTCTTGATGTGATCAGAGGTGGTATAACTTCTATTTAAGACTTAAAGTCCAAACACAAGAACATAAAACCTTGAGAACATGGTTTCAATACTTTCACCCTCTTTCATTTTGGACAACTCATATTGTTGAACCTGAATATTAGATTTGGCTTATTTAACTTGTTGGTTTCCTTCATAAGTAGCACATAAAAATTCAAAAATAGTTTTGGCAGTAGACTTGTCAATGATCTTTATGTACTCAGAGTGAGGCAAAACATCTACCAGATTGCCTCTCACTCTATGCTGTTTTTAGTAAATCTTCTTCTGAGTTGGTGTGAGAGTTTTTCAATCAGTTACCATTCATACTCCATTCACAAGAATATCAATGTCATCTTTAAAAATATCCTACAACTCATCATCAATGCTTATGATATTTGTGCACATCTTGCTTTTCCACCATTCAAATTCAGTAGAGTCTCCACTGAACTTTGGAGGTCTAGAAACATAGTTGTTATTTTCAGATGTACTATAATCATGATTAAGAACACTAGGTAGATTAGGTTGTGAGTGAGATTTTTCAGAATCGCTCATGATATAGAAACTTTTAACTCTCAACATGACTCTAGAGTACTCAAAGTTCTCTATTGACAACTCTTCACATGTGATAACTCTATTAACTCTAAGGGCTGACAATTTAAATCAAACTTCTCAAAATTGACACTAAGGTCACTGATGTTAAATTTTTCTCAAAATCAGCAAAAAAACTCCTCGAACTCGAAACTGCCAAAAAACTTCCAAACCGCCTGAACCCTCTGTCAGGCCCGAACTGTCGCCGCCACCCACCTTCGGCTCTCTACAACACCCACCGTACAACGCCCCCGTGCACCCACCATTATTTTCTTTTCTTCTTTGCCGACTGCTGTGGCTCTTTTTTAAATCTCAATTGCCATTCTTTTTTCAAGCAAAAATTTCAAATTCACACTTGAACAATTGATTGAATGGGATGTGCAATCGATTGTCATAGCAAATTTTTTGTTATTTTTGAATGTTGTATATAGCGCAATCAATTGTAAAAATAGTGTAATCGATTTTCACTATTAAGTCTTTGAAATTTTTTGAACAATCTTAAAACCTTTTTATATCACTTTTTCATTGCATCATTTTCAAATCAATGCATGATTATTCAAGTCATTTTATAAAACATTGCCATGATTTACCAAGGGATTTCTTGGTATTTAATAATGCAGAATTTTTCTCATTTCAAATTACCTCTTTCAAATATTTTTTTGAACAATTTAGTTCATTGTTACGACATAATTTTTCAAGAACTTTCTGCATAAATTTTCGAGAATAAAGTTATTGAGCACTTATAGTAGATATTTAAATTGTCATATTTGAAAGGGAAGAACAACTTTTTTAAAATTTTATTGTGTTATCGAAATTTTACCGTATTTATATTCTAAATTCAAAATTGTTGTAACATTGTAACAATATTTTGTAACTTGTATATCGGGTTTTTGGTAACATAATGTTAGAGAGAACGTAGAATTATTTCTCTTTGTGTTTGTAATATCACATGGCGGGGTGCATTTGTGATTGTGTTAGAAATTAAGAGAGTTTGGTTGATTGACTGTAGCATTTCTAACATAGTGAAATCTCTCAAGGGTGTGAAAAGTATAATTCTTGGTGTTCATTTACTTTACTTTTTAGTTTCTTATTCATTCACCTGTTCATAATTCCAGAAAATTACAAGAAACCATAAAAGTACTTAAAATCTCTAAAAACACTGTTAAACTTAATTCACCCCTATTAGGTTGCACTCTAAACTTACAACTACGTCTACCTTCATAGAAATATTAACCTCTTTCCTCTTTATATATGATATGAGGTAAAACTTGAGCCAACCTATCTGCCTATATTTTTGTAATAATTTTCTGCTTAAAAATTGCCAATGTAATGGGCATGGAGTGAATAATGCACTTTACATATTCAGATTTTGGAATAAGAACCACTGTTGTGTAGTTATTATTTGGAGGAATCCATACTTCTTTGAAGAATTGCATAATGGCTTTGATTACATCATCTTTAATCACCTTCCAATAAGTCTGATAAAAGAAAATGCCTAAACCCATATGGACTAGCTGCGCCATCCTTCCCCGAGCTGAAAATAGCACTATAAATTTACTCCTTAGAAGGCTTCATAGTTAACAAATTATTAGCTTGATCTGTCACCAATGGAGGAATTACTTCTTCCACTAAATCATTGACCTACAAAACAAAAGCAATGTTAAATAATCTCTTATAATGGTCCACCACATGCTCTGCCAACTACTCCTAATCTGCAACTATGGTTTCTTCTCCTTTCAAATATTGAATTAGCTTTGTTGCATTTGTAATCTTAGTGAGCATATGAAAGAACCTTGTATTTCTATCTTCTTCCACATTCCATTGAACCCTAACCTTCTCTTTCCAAAATGTTTCCTCTACGTTTAGAGTCTGATCCAACATTGCTTGAGGTATTCTCTCAAGATCAGTAAGGGAAACATATTATGTAACAATGTGGAAACATAGACAATAAAAATTCCAAAGATTTTGGCGTTCACCTTAAAAATAAATGATATTTATTATCATCTAAATCCATTATGATAAGGTCCATATTATTGTCGCACGAGCATCCTAAGTTAGGAATATTAGGTATAATTACATCAGAGATCCTTTAAGTTATTTGTTTGTAATAGGTTGGCCCTTAAGTTTGTTTTGTAATAACTTGGTCCTTTAACTTAACAAACGTTTGCACTATTATTATTATTTTTAATCCTTGACTAAATCAATCATGCAAAATACATAAAGTAACACCAAACTACATAAAACAACATCCTAAATACATAAATTAGCATCCAAAATACATAAAGCAAGATCTTAATTCAACAAGTTTATTAACTTAAAGGATCAAGTTGCTAAAAAAAAATTTAAGAATCAATCTATTACAAATAAATAATTTAAAGAACCTCAGCTATAATTACGTCGGAATATTATTATCCCAATAGTTAATAGCAAACAATTTTAAGTTCAATCTTCTAATAACATATTTGGGTTGCCTTTTGGAAGATCCAAAATCAATTTTAGATGCGTAGAATTGATTCTGGGTGATTTTGAAGTGTTTATTTTATCAAAAATAGAATTGATTCTACCTTTAAAATTAATTCTACTTGAAGTTAGAATTTGTAGCTTCTATCTCCAGAATTGATTCTGGATGATTTTCACACTGAAATTTATTGTTCAACTCACTTTTACACAAATGTATCCAAACATAAATAAATATGCTAAACTCAATTTTATTAAAATCAATTTTACCAAACTCAATTCAAATAGAATCAATTCTGTTCAACGGGAATCCAAATACACCCTAAATTAATTTGGAAGAAACATAGAGCATCCATCCAAAGCTCAACAATGAAAACAAGCTGAGGTATATTATTAAGAAAACATAGACCAATGCCATGTCTATCTGCCTCAACTTGTGTCATATTGGTCCAAGATTAATCTAGAAATTCCATGTCTTTTTGTAATTTTTATTTTATAAATTTTTGTTAACTGTAAAAAATAATTTTTATCACAAAATTTCACTCATCATAATAATTTTTTTCTATTATATTAAATTTTCTTATACAGATACCAATTTAGTTGTTTAACGGGACAATAAAATATTGATTTTATTTATATTAATTTCAATTTTTATGGACATAATAATTTTTTTGAATATATTTAAAAATATCTCTTCTTATTACTTTGTTTATATTTACTTTTATATCAAACTAGTAGATAACTATGTGCTATCAAAAAACAAGTATAAAAAATCTGTTTTTCCTTTTATTTATTTATATATTTATATATCTATTAATAATCAAACAAAATATAAAGAAAGCATGAATTTAGCTGTCTTAATTTATTTAAGTAATTAAATTGATTCTTACAAAGATTTAGTCAAGAATTAAATCTCTTAAAAATATATATACACTATAAATGACAATAAAATATTCATTTCCTAAATAGTTTTTTTTTTCGCTTTATACAGCTGTATCTATTAATAAAATTAATTAATAACAAGAAAAGTCATTATTTAAATTCATTTATGAAAAAAAACGCCACCGTTCATTCGTTCAATATATTTATGAGTTCATTCAACGAATATTTACAAAAGTCTAGAAAATAGAAATGGTCAATTGTCAATTAAAAAAAAATATTGGCAAAAAATTCGATTAGACGGTTGAACGGTTTTTATTTGGCACACGTGTGCAAAAAAAAAAAACTTAAACCCTTCAATTAAACGTCACATCGCAGGTTCAACACTGACTCAGTGAGTGAGTGAGTCACCTTCATCACTAGCGAAGAGATTTTGGGGGTTTTAGAAGAGAGTTCTAGAGCGAGAGAGAGAGAGAGAGAGAGAGAGAGAGAAGACGCTGTTGTTTCGCCATGGGAGCTTGTGCTACATTTTCTCCGTGGACTAATGAAGACGATCTTTTACTCAAGAACTCCGTTGAGGTTTTATAATTTTTCGTTTTCTTAAAAAAATTTTTTAGGTTTTTTTATTTGTGTTTGAATTTGATTGTTGAAGTTTTTATGTTTGATTTTTAGGATAAACAGCATGAACTCTTGATTGAAATTGAATTGGATTTTATTTCAGATTATTGTTAATATTAGTGACACATTGTAGTGTAAGCTTGTTTATCTAGGTTTTTATCTGTATTTGAATATTGATGTTTTGTGTTTGTTTTTCTGGATATACCTTATGAGGTTTGAATTGAATTGAATAGAATAGATCTATATTTCATTTTACTTGTGTTCTATGCTACGAAGCACGAACACCAGAAACACGACACCAACACTGACGCGTTGCGTTGACACCGGTAATAATTTGAAAAAATGAATAAATTTGACGGAATCGCAAGTGTTTGTTGGTCGGTTTTGGACACCGGCACAAACACACCTTTTTCCAGAGGTGTCGGTGCTACGGAGGTTGTCTCGTGTTTGCATACATTAGACAAGATAACCGTGTTAGGATTCTGGTTTGAATAACTTTTTTGCATGATTTTGTATTTACAGTGTGGTGCTTCGTTGGAGGCACTTGCGAAAGGTGCGGTGCAGTTTTCTCAAAAATATAGTATTGGGGAAATAAAAGAGAGATGGCATTCTATCTTCTTTGACCCTGATGTATCCTTGGAAGCCTCTACGGCTATGATACGTTTAAAAGAGCAGGATATTGTTTCTGTTAAGAGAAAACCTGTCAGGGCTCGAGATTCTTACTACGCGGTGCATAAAAGAGTGCGCAAAGAGGCTCAAACTTCCATGGACTTCAATTTTTTGGTTGAACCAGAAAATGACAATTATGCTGTAAATGGAGACGGGCCTTTGCATCTAAACTGCGTACCTGAGGGTTCAACTTGGAATCAATTTCCAAATCATGATCCGACAATCTACGGTGTTCAAGAGAATATTATGAATGCTGATGTTGCAATTAATGGAGTTACTGATCAAGCGTTTTACACTGGAGTTGTTGATGATACTCTTGGAGAGAATTTTCTCATTGACCAAAACCATATGCCTGTGGAGGATCATCAAATTATTGAAGATAACCAAATTATTGAAGATAACATGCCTCTGAATGGAGCTGCCGAGGAAATGGGTGTTCCAATCGAATTAGATATCGAAAAATTTATCAGAGATGAGGATGTAGAGGAAATATCTTTGTCTACATTTCAACAAATCAACAATGACCCTGCAAATATATGCTCCGAGTTTGATGAAGATTGTCTATTTGATTCATCTGAGTTAGAGTGTGGAGATTCATTTGACGATTTACAGTTATCTTCACTTCCTGACATTCCGGACATTCCAGACTGGAGAACAGAAGAACATGGCGGTATTCCATGTCATGGCTCAAAAGATTCGACTGCTTGCGAGGATGGTTACCTGAAAGAGTTGTCCGATGATCTCTTAACCTTCACCGGCGAGGAAGATCTATACCTGATGGATTATGTCGAAAAAGATGGGATTGGTAAATCTTATTATGATGGTCTGAGTTCACTTTTAGTAAGCTCTCCAATTGATGGTTCTTCAGATCAGATACCTGAAATGGATGAAGCAGAGTTATTATTGGCCCCACCTGAAGAAGTCAAAAATCCGTGTGTTTCACGTCACACAAAAGTAGATGACAATGCAGGAACGGGCGAAACAGATTTGTTAGCTGCATTTGATGCACATGTTAATGATCTCTCAGCTTCATGTCGTGCTCGTGCAGAAGTAGATGACAATATAGTGTCAAAACCTAATGGTGTGCAAGTAGTTCACAAATCAGCGTTCGAAATGCCAACTTCTGCCTCAGCTAAATACCCTCAATTTCCTGAACTAGTTAATGGAGTTATTTTCTGTAGTCTAAATACCGAGGACCCAGTAGTTCCATCCAATGAAGATGTTTTTCTACCCTCTAATGAGCATCCCCCAACAATGTTTTCATCTGAACCAGCTGTTACAAAATCCAATAAACCAGTTCCATCATCTGTTAATGATTGTGGATTTAGAGCTAGCAGAAGAGGTAAAGTTTTGACGCAGGTTGAACAAAAAAACTCCATAGGAGCTCATGTGCCTTCCCAGACAACAAGAGCCCGAGGGAATTCAGGGCCTGTTTGTGGTTCGAAAATACAATGCGAGTTATCTAATAACCATTCATCACACAGTGCAGTTATTGCTTCCCGTGGCTTAGGTGGAAGCAACAGTTTAACAAACAAAACTCATGCTGCTCTACATGCAAATCCTGACGAAAAGCTTGGCAATGTTAGCTTCGTAAATCATCTAAGCAATAATGTGACAAGTTTGTCACATGAGAAACCAGCCCTCGGAAAGGGCTTTATACATCATGTCCAACCTAATGGTTCTTGCTTGAAACAGGAACAAAATGTAGCTTTGCCAGTTGAATATAATAAGTTGCAACATGCTGAAATGGGATTTACAGAAGTTCTAAGGTCAGAGCTGGTGGTTATTCCTGAAAAGTTAGATGAGGAAGAGCAATATATCGAAAGTGATGATGATATTCCTTATTATTCTGATGTAGAGGCGTTGGTAAGGCATTTTCTGTTTACCTTTCAGTCAACAGTTGGCTTAACCTTTTCCACAACTCTTGCAATTTTCTGACTTATTTATGATTCCCTCTTACAGATACTTGATATGGACTTGGAGCCTGATGTTCAGGATTTATATGAAAATGAAGAAGGTAATACTATTGCTTTGTGCTACTTGCTAATTTGCTTTTTTTTTCCTATTGAAAAAAGAGACAACTATTTGAATTAGTGACTCAACTTGAGAACATTTCTATTTTCCTATTTGCTTTTTTGATGCTGTCTCATGGTACGGGAGGGTGTTTCAGCTATTTGGGCAGTTGATAGGCTCAGTTCTTGTTAATGTTTTTGCCATAACCAACATATGTCAGTCATAAGAAAAAACAATCCACTTGTCTTTGTAAATAATTGACCGATTTGCTTTAATTTGCTTATGTAATTCATTGTTTTCTTATGACTTTATTATAGATTAACAATTTATATTCTGATTACAATTTAGTATCAAGATATCAACATGAGGAAACTAAGCGGACTATCGTAAGGCTGGAGCAAGGGGTTCACTCTTTTACGCAAAGAGCCATGGTTTCACACGGAGCATTGGCTCTATTATATAGCCGCCACTCAAGTTACTATATCAAGAAAAACGAGGTATTTGTCACTTAAGCGCAAAAACTTCTTTCTTGATCTACATGTTGTTTGAAACTGTTTTCCAATTATTACTCTTTGAATGTAAGTATAACACTCATGTTATTTTTTAAAATATTTTCACTATGGCATAAGAAGTCACATGCATTACAGATACAGGTTCGCGTATTTTCTGTTATGTCAAACAACAAAGATCTATTATGAAATTATTAGCATCAATCGTTTTTGAAAAATCCCCCAACTTAATATTTTATTTTTTAAATTAGAAGAGTAAACATTTTGTGATGTTTTAATATATTGCGGAACAAATTTCACATGCACTTCTTAGATTATTAGTAATATATGGCCGTTTGTGTTTCTAGGTTGAGGTAGTAACCTTTTTCCCCCCTATGTTTTGGAGTTATTTCAAAGCCAGATGCCAGCAAATTAGTTGAAATGACCTGTTTTGCAATGATAATCATATATGTTCTTTGAAAAAGTGCCCCTGCTAAAATAACGTCTGTTTTTGTTTAAAATTTGGAGGGGTCAATATTTTCCGCGAGATCACAAATTAAATCATCCTGCAGGTTTTACTTGGACGAGCAACAGAAGGTGTTCATGTAGATATCGACTTAGGCAAAGGAGGTGGTACCAATCTAATATCTAGACGCCAGGTTGGTTATATTTAGTTATTTACCAACTATAACTTATTGCAGTGAACTATGCTGTGTATGTGTCTGAAAATGTGTTTTTCACTGATAATGAACTAATCACATCAATATGCTTTTAAGATTTTGGTTTCCTGTTGCACACACTTCATCTGGTGCACACACTGCAATGTCAGTTCTTAAAATATCACGTCGACGTACTTTAAATTCTAGTAAGGTGTTGTGTTGTCTTCACTACAAAATGTAAATTGACCTCAACATACCGTTTGTAAACTTTTCCCTTGTCATGTTTTAGGCAATCATTAAGATGGATAAAGATGGATCATTCTACATTAAAAATATTGGCAAGAGTTCAATGCTGGTAAATAACAGAGAGTTGCACACTGATCAATCTCAAAGACTGCTCTCCCATCATTTGATCGAGGTATTCTCACTGTTACTGTCTGATGGCAACTGTTTTTATTTTCTCCTGATAAATCAATTTTGACTGGCTTGCGAAAAGTACTGAAAAATGCAGATTTTTTCTATTGGATTCTTATTTTAATTGGAAATGTGATTTCTTATCTTATTTTGCAGTTGAAGGGCATGCAATTGATATTCGAGATAAATCAAAGTGGCCTGAAGCAGTAGCAGCTGACTCATAGCACTGACAATTTTCCGACCTTTCTGTGTGACTGGAAAGGTCCCTTAACACAGGAAGTGCTTATTCGTACGCATTTGTACGCGCTTTCTGATTTTTGATGAGGAGTGGCCATGCTAGTATGTCATTGCTTTTACTGATGAAGTGTTTTTCCCGGAAATAGAGTTGCACAACTCTTTTTCCCCTCTATGTTCCTTTGCCTGCTAGAATAGATAATTCTTCAACCCAAAATTGTAGTATGGCAAATTTATCGGAACCCAGAATCTGAATCTCATTACTATTCTGCATGAAGACAGTCCTTTTGAAACCTGGTGCTGGTTTTTATCATATATCTTTAAATGCATAAAAAGAAAAAGTTACCTATTATTTAAAATCGGGTTTTCATTGTTTTCAATGTTTTTGAACTTGTTTGTTCAGTTTGTTTACCAATTGTTATATCGAAACCATGATAGATTAAAGGAGATTATGCATTGATTGCATATGATTAGATTCAAATTACAAGTACAATATTTTTTCATTTTATGTTATTTTTTTCCTAATATTTTGTCAAGATAAAGTTGTAGAGCCAAATGGGACAGGTGGAACAAAACATGTGAGATAGAGGTAACAGTTCTGCTTCTGTGTTGCAGAATAAAAGTTCATATAATTATATTTTCTTGAGTTTTTATTTATTTATTTATTTATTTTTTATTTTAAATCTTATCAGCAATCCAAACTAACAAACTCATCAAGTGGTTGAGTTTGATTGGCTGGAGTTTTACAAAAAGATAAACTTTTACTTATCTCAAATTGTAAATTTGCTTATGCTTAGATCGGATAAAGGGATTGATCAAATTAGATTAGTCTAATTATAGGGATGAGAGAAAGTAAGTTTGTAGTTGAAATTGGTGCAGTTTATTCTATCTGTTGTGTTGTGTTCCTTGTTCTTTTGCATCTAGCCATGGTCTTTGGGCATATGCCTCTATTTTCTTTTCATATTTTTAATTCTTTTGCTGTTTTTATTTTACTTGTATTGTGTAGGAGGGTTAGTTTAACTTTTAACTTTTAATGCCTCTTTGTCGTTTATCGTTCCTGGAAGTAAAATTTGACCTAACCCCTTTCGATACATGGGATGTATCTCTACTCGGTCTTTAGTTACGTAGCATCCACATCTTTAAACAATAATGTGTTTGGTGTCGATATTTTAGAGTTTGACACCTATGATACTAATACTTGTTAAGATAACATTTAATTAATTTATATTTTCATATTATTATTATTATTATTATTATTAGAAGGTAGGTTAATAGATCTTTACCCTTGACATTTAGATTAGGGGTCTTCTGGTTTTCTTCTGTAAAATATTTGTAAAATATTTAAAAAAAAACAACCTTGCCATATGAACATTTCTTTGACTTAAACCTTTTAGTGGACAGATTCACTTAAGGAGTTGATGTGGCAAGTGAGTGTTGACTGAATATAAAAAATGATTGTCACATATATCAAATGTTTGCCACAGCAGTTGACCACGTATAATTGAAAATTTTTCCTTGCTTTTCGTCCTTCACATGTGTTCTAAAATAGAAAAGCCATTGAAGTGTTGAAGAGGTTGCAGTGAAAGCGACATTGAAAAGGTGACGATATGGTTTGTGTTTTGGAAACGAAGTTTCATTCACAGGTAAACTTTTTCGGTCAAGTTTCTCATTTTTGTAGTTGATCATGTTTAGTGTGGTTTTTCATCATGGTGAAGAGTTCGTTAGGGACAAAATAATCTTTAGTGGGGTTCAAAGCACTATTCATGAACAAAATATTGAAAAATGGGATTATTTGAGGTGATGAATATCGTTCTTAACTGGAGTTATGAAAGAAATAAGTTTAGGGTATGGAGCAAACTTGAAGGTATAAATGACTGTTATTTTGAAATTGACAAGGACTATTGTACTATTGATGTTGCTACTTATGTTGTTGGAAACTCTATTGAAGGTTATTTGTATGTTGAACACAATGTGAATGACATCAAGGTCAAAGTGGTTGAGCCTCAATGCATTGATGTTAAGTGATGAAGATGAATATGAAAGTGATGATGATGCAAGAAATGTTAGATTTGATGACAGTGAGGAGGATAAACCAATTAGATTAAATGATGGTGTTAAGAGTCTCACATCGGACAATATATGGTATGAACATGTGTTTATAAATGGGGTAATTCTCACTCTACCAACCAGTTTTGTAGAGTTGAGTTAAGTCCAACCACATTTCTTAATATGATATCAAAAGCCTCGTTTAAGATCCGGTGGGTCACCTTCTATGGTTTTTGCTATCGGGCCACCCACCATTTATTTTCACGCTTCAGTTGTCTAGTCCTGAGCGTGAGGGGGTGTGTTAAGAGTTCCACATCAGACAATATATGACATGAACATGTGTTTATAAGTGGGAATAATCCCCACTCTATCAACCGATTTTGTAGTGTTGAGTTAGACCCAACCACACTTCTTAACAGATGGATTTGAAGTTGTTGAAGTTGAGAGGCCCAAAGAAGGTTCAAACAGAGTTGACATAAATGGAAAGTCATATAGAATTAAGATGTGTGGAAGTAAGTCACATATGAAGATGGAAAGTCATATATGATTAAGATGTATGGAAGTAAGTCACATATGAAGAAGAAGAAATTAATCCCAAAGAAGATGAAGGTTAGGTCACCTGCTAAGAAATCAAAAGATGCTTATGAAGTAGAAGACCATAAATTTAAGGATGATGGGGAAGACCAATATGTGAGTGATGAATTAAGTAGCTCCGACCCAGATGCTTCTGAAGATGAGACGTTACCTAAATATGAAAAGTTTAGAAAGGATCAACTTAGGAAAGACTATGAATTCAAGCTTGGTATGAAATTTAATTCATTGATTGATTTCAAAGATGTCATAATCAAATGGTCAGTAATAAATGGAAACAAAATTACATACAAGGTAAGTGTAGTTTTTGGCTCTATGCTTTAAAGTTGGTGGGTCTCTAACTTATCAAATAAAAACACGGGTGGATGTAACGCCTCAACTTATAAATTTTTCTATTTTTAATTATTTGTGTTTGCTGGGTTTTGAAAACGGAAAAGGTAGAAAAATTTATTTAATTAATTTAGTATTTTAAATAATTATTTAGATATTTATTTTATTGATTTAAATATTTAATTAAATAATTATTTAAGCTGTGACGATATTTTATCATTAAAGTTAAATAATTATTTGGTTGGGATAATTAATTAAAATATTTAATTTTTGAAATTTATTTAGTCGTATAAATTAAGGGGACAGACAGGAAGAAAAATCAAAGAGAAGTGAAAGATTATGGACAATTGATGTAGTTTATAATAATAATAATAATAATAATAATAATAATAATAATAATAATAATAATAATAATAATTATAATAATAATAATAATAATAATTATTATTATTATTATTATTATTATTATTATTATTATTATTATTATTATTATTATGGAACATGAGAGAAAGTGAAGTATGTGATATCGTAAACGAAAGAAAAAAAAAATACGAAAATGGGAAATTAGAAATTATCGTGGAAAATTAAGGGAACTTGAAGAATTTAGGATATACAAAAGATTTGAGAAGAAGAACTATTTTGAGGTAGGGGGAATTTTTTTACTAATGGGTGCTTGTAGACAGTGAAGGGTCATTATCTTCCTATCTCTATATTTTCATTATATATGACATGTGGCTTTGTTCGTAAGCAAATGTGTTTTGGCCAAAACCCCCCAAGGTCATTGATCATATAATATGTTTATATGTGAAGTATGCCCTTTTGGGATTTAGAATATATTTTTGTGGTCATCGATTGATATGTTTCCCTTATCTTCTTCAGTATAATTTGTGTCCTTTTGAGATTTTTGTGATGAATGGTTGTATGAGTGTTTGTTGGATTATTTAATTCAGCGTCTCCCCGAGGGATTCGATGGGCTTAACATCCCACCCATGGGCGTCTACACAGGTGTGTTAGGTGGGCTAGGTAGGCCCCTTGGAGTTCACTTTAAAAAAGATAGTTGCGCCCTGACTAACAGCAATTGCTTTTGGCCTAGTGGTAAGCGCTTGATCCTACAAGTGGTATCAGAGCAAGGTCATGGGTTCGAATCCCCCCGGCTGACACTGGGGGGAGATTGTTGGATTATTTAATTCAGCCTCTCCCTGGGGGATTCGATGGGCTTAACATCCCACCTATGGGCGCCTACACAGGTGGGTTAGGTGGGCTCCTTGGAGTTCACTTTAAAATAATAACAACTATTATTTAGTTAAATAATTTGATAATTTTATATTTTCTATCAAGTTTTTAGTTAAAATTGAAGAATATTGAATAGAATAAGTTAATTGACTAACTAGAGTTATAATTTAATCAAGTTAGAACTGTCAATTGGATTATTCGTTTTGAATAACTGACATATTTAAAGTTGTCAGAGTTGTTTCCGAATTATTTAAAATTGAAGTTCATGAACTTTATTCAATAATAATAGTAATCTTAATAATAATAATTTAATATTATTAAATATAATATTTTAGAGTATAGTTAAAAATATGTAATTATTTATAATTTTTATAGTTATCACTCGTAAACTATCAATTTAGCACTTTTGGGCATTTTAGAGTACTTTTGGGTATTCTAGAGTTATTTTTGAGATATAAGGATTATTAAAGTGTCGTTTAGTGTTCCCTCGATGACTTTGTTGAATTAATATAAAAGCTATAATTATTGAATTTAATTATATAAATAATTTATGAGTAGGTTCAAGGGTGGAACCTATATTGTGAAGTGTTCTGTAATAATTATTTTGATGTGTGTATGTTGTTTGAGTTTTGTTGATGAGTTGTCATGTTTATGCATATGGAGATTAGGTAGGACTTCGGTCCACTGAGTTTTGTTGATGAGTTGTCATGTTTATGCATCTTACTAGTATGGAGATTAGGTAGGGCTTCGATCCAATGATGTCAGGGTTGTTGTCC